CTCGCATATCAGCCCTGTGATGCATGCCAGGCACTTCACACACCAGCATTTGGGATACCTTTCATCTATTTAAAGTCTTCTAGTGAAGTTGTATGTCCTGGGTGAGAGGTGCCCTAAGGTGAATGCCGGCTTTTTCTCCACGTCTGTTTCCCTTCAATCCCTGCAGTTGAGCTCTCCTTCAGCCTTGCTTCAGGTTAGCTTTCTGCTTCAAAGCTCTTGCCCACAAGCACAGCACCAGTTCTTCAGTGCAAGTGCTGAGGGTAGTGACACATGGAGTCCTACTGCCCAGCTTTATGGCTATGGGGACTTGATATTCCAAACAGTGCAGGAAGCAGGTTAACATCTTCAGACGTTTCCACTCCTTGGTACCACACCACAGTGAGGACAGATTCCTCATAGAGCACATGAAAGTGATGGCGGATTTCCCTGGAGGCATTTTAGTTACTTCAAGCTAGCTTATTCTACCATGGGGGATCACAGAGCTCTGACCTGACACATTTGGTAGCAGCCTGCAACAGATATGTTTGCCATTAAATAATTAGCAGTCCATAAACAATGAAAATAAATCAGGCTACTATTTACCAGACTTTGGCCATTTCCTAATCTCATGAAACACATGAGAATACCTATGCTAATGACACTGTTATGAATCCACTTTTCTTGCTCATCATTACCATTTTAAAGTGGCTTAAATGAGCTAGTAATCACCATAGCAACTGCACTGGGTTTGAGTAGCAAGGTTATGGCTACAGGGGTGGCTTCTGTGAGAAGCTGCTAGAAGCTTCCCCCATGTCCAATAGAGCCAATGCCAGCAGCTCCAAGATGGACCTACCACCGGTCAAAGCTGAGCCCATCGCCAATGGTGGTAACACTTCTGTGATAACATGGTTAAGAAGGGGGAAAAAAATACTATGTAATAGCAGCTGAAGAGAGGAGTAAGAATATATGACAGAAACACCCCTGCAGGCCCCCAGCTCAGTGCATAAGGAGGGCAGGAGGTGCTCCAGGCACCGGAGCAGAGATTCCCCTGCAGCCCATGGTATGGCCCATGGTGAGGCAGCTGTGCCCCTGCAGCCCGTGGAGGCCCATGGTGGAGCAGATGTCCACCTGCAGTCTGTTCCTAAATGGCTGCACCCCATGGAAGGGACCCATGCTGGAGCAGTTCATGAAGAGCTGCAGCCCATGGGAAGGACTCAGGTTAGAGTTCATGCAGGCCTGCACCCTGTGGGAGGAACCCCACGCTGGAGCAGGGGAAGAGTGTGAGGAGTCCTCCCCTGGAGAGGGAGCACTGACATCAACCTGCATTCCCTGTCCTGCTGTGCCACTGTTAGGGAGGAGGCAGAGAAATCAGGAGTAAAGTTAAACCTGGGAAGAAGGGAGGGGTGGCAAAAGGTGTCTTTTAAGATTTGGTTTCATTACTCTGATTTGATTTGTAATAAACTCATTTCCCCAAGTCAAGTCTGTTTTGACTGTGACAGTAACTGGTGAGTGACCTCTCCCTGCCCTCATCTCAACCCACAGGCCTCTCATTATATTTTCTCTCTCCTGTCCAGCTGAGAAGAGTGATGGAGCAGCTTTGGCGGGCATCTGCTGATCAGCCAGGGTCAATCCAACACAGCAACAAAGCAGCACTCGGGAGAACTATCAAGAGAACTTAGTGTCTTAAAAGGGAATGTGGCTTTTTGTATCCTGTCAGTGAAACTTGGGTTTCTTCTGATTTTGAGCCTGATAGCAATGAAACAGGGAGGAAATAAGAACATTCTCATGAAAGCATAGAATATCCCCAAACCTACACTTCGTATTTATCCATGCAAAGCTTAAAGGACATAAATAGAGAAGCAAGTAGGAATGGGTACATCAGGAAGGATCTAAGTGTGCACTGCGGTATCTAATGTATTCCAGTGATTAGAGTGAGTGGTATCAGAGATGAGATATAAAAACTAAAACAAAAAGCGTGTCTTACTGCCTGCCTTAAAAAGTTTAGATCTGTCTACAGAAAGTAATTGCATTGAAACAGCTATCGTTGCCTTTTTCTTTCCTTCCCTGTTTCTGGAAGAGTTCATAGGTCTCAGGAAGCAGCAAATTGTGTCAAAGGGATATAACAAAACTGTTTAAAACCCTCTTTTTCATTATTTCATATTGGCTCCTATCTGCATATGCCCAACAGACTGTGCAGGAGCTCCTCCTGTGACAGCCGAGGCAGCCGCAGCTGAGATCAGAGCTCAGAGGTGCTCCTGCCACGAGCCCTTCACCAGCACTGAGAAGCAGTGGAAGCCAGAAGCCAGTTTGCCATTGGCCAGGTCCTACCCCTACTCACATGGCTTTGCCAAGTCACTGACCACAGCAGAGCTCTGGGATTCCCAAGAAGACAGCTAGCTCTTCCTCCCCAGAATGACAGCAGCTGTTCCATCAGGTACTAAACAGGCAAAACAGACAGCAGACACAGGCAAGACACCTCCCTGCATGCAGCATCATTTAGCAGCCTTAGAGGACAGGGTTTCGCAGTGCAGTCCCTTCCAACCATATAAAAAAGTCAGTGAGAGTGTTCTCTGCTCTGGAGAGGGTGCACCTCGGTGCGTGATACCACACAGCACAGGGCCTGTGGCCTCGCAGCCTAGGCATGAGGCAGATGACCCTGTGGTGTTTGGAGCCAAGAAGTGAGCTGCAGGCAGAAGATGGGCTGGAGGAGCAGTAGACAGCTAGCCCCAGCCACGCTGGCCAGCCCTGGGCTACTTAAGTTACTGATTAAACACCATAGACTTTGCACCCTCCAAGGCAAGAACCTCTTCCCAGGCATTGCCAGTCTGTTTGCCTTGCTGGAGCCTGAGGAAGCTGCACACATCCTGCTGGAGATGAGCCCTCTGCATCCCTTCCCACTCTGCCTACAGCTGCCAGGCTTCTGCATCAGGTGTGAGAAATTATATTGCTTCAGCCTTTAGCCTCCGCCTCAGTACAAAAACATTTCAGTATTACAGAGCACTTGGATTAACTGCATTGCTTCTCTTCTTGGAGCACACATCGTTTTCTTCTTATTAAGGGCTTGGGTGCACGTCAAGAACTTGCATCCCAGTGACACCGTAATCACCAGGTATGGAGACCTTTTCCAAGACCTGCACGCTGATACGCAGCCAGATGCTATTTTCACCTCAGTGCTGATGAGCGTGTAGAAACTGCCAACGAGCAAATCTAAAGCAGTGCACTTCTTCTAAGCTCCTTTCCTTCATTATTAAATACCAGCAGATGGACTCAGCTTCATGTTGTTCCCAGACATGCTCAGGGCTCACGGAGGATGTGGTGGAGCATCTTTAACCATGAGCTGAGTGCAGGACCCAGCAGGCAAGAGCTCACAGAAAACACACTGATTAAAAAAGCCACTCAGAGGTGCCCAGCTGAGCAATGCTCAGGGTGATGGAGGAGACTTCCACCTCCAGCACAGTGACCCTTGTACCTCATGGGGACAAGCGGCTCTTATTCACCCTTGTGCAGGAGCACGTCGCCCTCACAGCTTAAGAGGCTCCTGCTCATCACCCACTGCAGCAGCCGATAGCTAAGCACTGGTGAGGAAGGTGCTAGCTGCTCATTAAAAACATATAAAACCAGATGTACTACAGTGTAGCTCTTCCTGAAGAGAGCATCAAAACCAACCTGTGGTAAATGCACTTCCACTTCATCCCCTGCCAGTGCTTCCCTTTCAATTGGTTAAAAACCCATCAACTGTATTTCAGCAATAAATTAACAGAGAGAAAGGGTTTTAGGTCACATCAGCCACATCAATAGCAAAACAAAATGGGGACCAAGGGTCCCTGAGCCCAGGCTGGCCTGACTCTGCACAGTGTCCTCTGGCTCTGCTGGCAGCACTTCTGATCTGCAGTTATCCTCCAAAAACGAGAGACAGAGTAGTACCTGCACTTCAGGAACTACACAACACAGTATGAAACCAGACAGAAACAGTTCCCCTAATAATAGAGGATAAATGAGACAGGACAGGCAAGACTCTATAACAGTGCCCCTTTCTCCTCATCATTACCTTGGCACAAGGCACAGTGTGAGCAGCACAGTCATTCCCATGCAGAGCTAGCTGATTAAAAACACAATGGGCAAGATAAAATGTGGAACAACAGGGTGGAAACGAGGGGAATGGCCTAAACAAGGACTCCGTTTTGCTAAGAGAACAGTGCAGGTTTGGCTTAACCCTGTCTGGCTGCAGTCACAGGAGAGAAGGGCAGGACCCTCCTGCCTCTGCCCACAACCAGTGACTTGAGGACGGTGCTGGTCCAGCATGGCAGTTGCCAGAGGTGCAGAGCCTGGGTGTTTCTGTCACTTGTCCCAGACAGCCGATGCTCTCAAAAAGCAAGGGAGCAAAACTTTTAAGGCAGGTGAATGCACCAAGCGTTGGAATTGCTGGCGCCAGCGCAAGGACATGGATCTGGGTGTGTTTAACAGCGACAGTGTTGTCTTCTCACACTAAGGGCAGGAGAGCCCAACAGGAGCAGGACACACCCCACCTAGGAATGCGAGTTACTCCTATCTAGGTTTTAAAAGGATCAAGTGTTAGAACTGGGTATGCCCAGAGAAAAGTTCTCATGCAGCATGTGCCAACAGGGATCTGGGAAGCCTGAGCTTTATCCTGGCAGTTGCCACTGCTGTACAACCAACAATGCATTTGCACACAGCTTGCAAGTCAAAGATGAGATACTTGCAAAGGTTTGGACACCAGCACCATCAGCAGCTTCCTCTTCACACAGGCTCACAGCCCAGCCCTATATCTACTACCTTCATTTTATACCAACACATGTAGGATCCTCTGAAGCTGGGTCAAGTGTAGGTCTGCCCAAACTGATCCCTAAAACAATGATGAGTGGGACTCTTCATCAGGAATTCTAGTGATAGGACAAGGGGTAATGGGTTCAAACTTAAACAGGGGAAGTTTAGATTGGATATAAGAAGGAAATTCTTTACTGTGAGGGTGGTGAGGCACTGGAATGGGTTGCCCAGGGAAGTTGTGAATGCTCCATCCCTGGAGGTGTTCAAGGCCAGGCTGGACAGAGCCTTGGGTGAGATGGTTTAGTGTGAGGTGTCCCTGCCCATAGCAGGGGGGTTGGAACTTGATGATCTTAAGGTCCTTTCCAACCCAAGTGGTTCTATGATTCCATGATGAGCATTGAGCAGAGGGGAAAAACGGGGAGAGCATTAGTGCTTCCCTGGGGAAGCTACAAAAAACAAGATAAAACCATTTCTGTCAGTTTGGTTTGCTGCAGGAGACACCACAGCTTCCTTCTGGCAGAAACTCATTCCAGCCCGATTTTCCAGATTTGACCAAAAGGAACTAAAGGCTTGGAAAAATAAGGTCTAACATGCAAACCCATCTGCTGCGAGCTGAAATGTAAGTTTTTGGCCCATTTGTCTATGCACACCACTAGATGCCCAGGGGCACACACGCAGAAAGAAGGTAAAACCAAAGAGTTACAGGGGTTAAAAAACAAACCATTTTTATTTAACAACACCCAAGATTCTTACCCATGATTTTTAAGATGAGAACACATTACCCCACAGATAACAGTCTTCTGCTTCTTCTGCATGGGGGCTCTGTGACAGCCACCCCCAATTATCTCTTCAGCTTCCAATAGGGATGAGCTCACTCAGCGCAGCCCCTGAGACAATGTGCTCCAGTGGAAAGCCCTCAGCCTCTCCTGGCCATGCTTCCTGGCTTCCCTCCCATCCCTGTTCTGAGGGTGATGGCCCCCAAAAATGTCAAGCATCTCCCTCACCTTCTTTTTGACAGCTCTTTTTAGAGAAGGAGCAGGGGAGGAGTCAATGCTGGAAGGAAGCAGATTCTGAGATTACCTCTAGCAGCACACCAGCTCTTCAACTACTGGCACGACCAGGTTTCATGCAGTTAACTTGCACACACAGACACCGGTTTTAGCTCAGTTTCTTTGCATTATTATTTACTATTGTAAACTCAGGATCAGCCTTTAACATTTATCCAATTTATATTCAAAATTTACCTCTGAAACCTGATGGGCATTGCAAAACTGAAAAGGGGAACACAGAGGCAGTGGTGTATGTCAGCTCTGTTACTGTCCTCACAACCACACCTGGGGCTGGGTTCCTGCCACTTTAGGAAGGTCTGGTGAGCCCCAGTGCTGGCATAAGGTAGGCAGCAGGAGGCAGGGAGCTGTTTGGCATGAAACCGCAGTCAGACTGAAATGTTTGCTTGCGCGGAGGACAGAGTTTGGTGTTCTCAAGGTATTCACCCAGTTGGACCTGGCGCCTGGCACACCTGCATAAGGAGGCTCCTGCCACGTACGAGTTAGGAGAAAGCTGTATGGTGCACACTAAGTCTTCACTAAGCAGTCTGCGTTGTCAGGAACATAAAAGAGTAATACTTGAATAGCAGGAATAAATCTGAAGCATGAGTCAATAGAGCAGTAAGCCCAGACTGTTCGCTGAGGCCATATATAATTTTTTGGTGTGTTTACTTTCCCCAAAGTCAACAAATACAACTGGTGTTTGCCACACAGCAACCTCGCATGAAGGCTGTATTTGTAAATAGCTGTATCAGGGCAATCCAGTAAATCCCCATTTTTCACATAAATATTCCTCATACATTTTTGGGGTATATTTAAAAGCAGAGTCTCAACATATTTACACATCTTTGAAGACAGCATCTCCCCTCCTTTTCTAAAAGTCCTTCTGAGCTCTGCTCAGCTACAGATGGTGTGGGGAGCACCCACAGCCATCACAAGGCCAGTTTTGGACTCAAAACTGCCTGTCCCCCGCATCCCATCTGTCCTCCCTTCCAGCTGACACCATTTCAGTCCTGTATCACCTAGAACAAGGGCGGGGCTTAACTCCCCTCCACTGTGCTCTGCTCTCCTTGGAAAGTGCCTAGAGCCACTCACCCTGCAGAAGGATACGAGTGCAGACACATCCATCACCACTTCATGAGCTTATTTTGGCAAGTCGCAGGGTTAACGCACCATGAGAAACAACATGGGGCTACATCCATGAGCAAGAAGATGGCTTTCTAAGGCATCTCCCTGCCAGGTGAGCACTGCAGGCAATAATGACAACTTACGTAGCTTTGGAAGCTTTCCAAAAGCCTTTCCGCTAACCGACCCCATTCTTACATTTCCTGCAAGCATCCAAAACACAGGGTACTGCAAGGAAAACCCATCTGAACACAAGAAAGCCTTGCATTAATATAACAAACCCCAACCCCTAAGAATAAAGGCAGATGATACATTATATATGTGTGTGTATACACATATATATGTATACATGCTCCATGTATAGGCAGATGATACATTATATATGTGTGTGTATACACATATATATATATATGTGTGTATACATGCTCCATAACAAAATGTCCAGTGGAGGTTGCTGCTAGTTCACAGTTCTGGACCCACCCCCAGTTTTTCCACAAATAGCATCTAGAAGATTTAATCCTTTTCACTGACCTTTTTATAGTCCCAAACGCTCCTCATGCAGAGTTCAGTTCTGCACATTTATAGCATTTCATGGTGGTTTTAAGGATTGTTGGGTTTACAAACAGCTCATTTGACTCTTATTCTAGTTGTGTGGGTGGTTAACATTAGCTGGCGGCTAATGGCATTTCTGGTTGGAGATGACTGTTCAAAGCTGGTTCACAGACTTTCCACTACGAGAGCCCTTCCCAAATAGTTAGCTGACCTGAAGAAATGAAGGAGAGGATTTTCAGAAGTTCTTACTGACCTAGCTGTGAGAAGTTAAACCCTCACACCGTGTGCTCAAGAGACTAGCACAGAGATTCCCAAGCAAACACTAGCTTAGGTTTGGTCTTTTCCAAACACTGTTTTGCAGCAGGCACTTACTTCTACATTTATTCTCCTGCAGACATGTATCTTGCTTGACCTAAGCTTGCACCAGTAATACTGGCTTTGTCAAGAAGAGATTTTCTGCTCTGAAGAGCTCTCAGCAGTTTCAAGAACCATCTTCTCCCTCAGTCATGCAGATTATCAGGAGTAAAGAATCACGTATCATCATGGGGAAATACAAGCCACTGGGTAATCCAAACCAGCAGACAGAGTAATTTAGCTCCAATCTACACAGAATGAAAGATGTAACATGTGGACACAGCTTCAGTGAACCTGTGACATGTTCATCAGGACATGGTCAGTCAGTGTTTCTAAATAATCAGGACTGAAAGTATGAGGCTATTCTTTACACAGAGGAAGAAAACTGGAATGCTGAAGCATAAAAACCCAGGTAGAAGGGAACAGATAAATAGCTCTCAGTTCAAAACTTGAGTAGTCACAGAGACAGCAAACCTGAAATTTGGGCAATTTAGGAAAGAATAAAGAACAACTTCTCTTTGACATAATTCAGCTTGAACTTTTCAGACTGTAAGGTTGAAGACAGCCACAAATTACTAAATGAAGTGAGGATGAAGATTCCTGATCTAGGCATGATTGTGCTACTAGGATTTTACCCATTCACACGAGACCATCCAGAGGTGAAGCATAGAGCAGGAGATAAAGGGATGCAGTACACCAAATGGGCCAAGAGGTTTCGGAGGAGAGTTTGCATATGTACATGAGGAGAAGCAAGGGAAAAAAAGGAAAACATATCTAGAGAATTAGGGGAAAGTGAAACATGAGACAGAAGCTATAGAATAAACAAATTTGGCATTTCATAGAAAAGCATAGTGAAAAAGGAAGACAAGGAAATCATTATCCACATACAACTATTTCCCATGGAAACTGGCAATAATGGAGCTTCAGTAGAGGATGCAAAAGCAGATATTCCTTACTTCACATCTCAAATAGGTTGTGAAGCTCACAAGACGCAGAGAAGAGGCAGCTATTTAAACACAGAAACAGGTGTTTATCTTCCCCTCATGTTTTTTTCCTCAGTCTCCCAACCTGGCCAAACACAGCATCAGTTCAGGCTAAATAACATGCTGAAGACATGTTCACAACTACATCCTTGAGGCACTGCATTAAGCCCACTTAACTTCTAGAGCATCCACAGCCCAGTGAGGTCACTATTGCTGAAACAGACTGATCCCTTTGCAATGCCTCAACTTCTCTAGGACAGAAAATTAAGCCCTCACATCTTCAGTATTTTTTATTCATGATGCAGGAAAAAAAATATTTCAAGGCCTGAGATGAGCCAGCAACTTGTGGGTAAAACATTCAGCTTTGTGGAAAAATGGCTGAACAGGGATTTAGTGAATCCAGGGATCCAGAAGAGGAACTCAGATTTAACTTAAAGATTAGTTAAAAGTAACAGCAAATAATCCCTTAGTTTCTCCAAGCTGAATGTTGCAGCTGTCCTTTACTGTTAATCCAGGTACTGCACAAGACCATGCTTTTATCTGCTCTTCTGCATTAAGCCAGCATGTGCTGGTGACGCTGCAGACCACTGCCAGCATGTCTCCTTTCCTTGCATAGGTGCTGGAGTTGCATGGAGAGCAGGTAAAGAGCTCATTCAATTCAATTCTATTGCTAAAGCCAACTAGAGAAAGCAAGGGCCATTCTCAGGAAGCCTCCCCCTTCCTCCCAAGGGCCAAGCAGTCTATAGCCAGAATGAGACTTCTAGGCTCCACACTCACCTTCCACTATCACCTTTCATTCAGGCTGGCGGGGCTGAACCCATCTCTGCAAGTACTGCTACAGATGTAACTCATCTTGCACAAATATTTAATGAGAAATGCATTATAGTACAAGAGGGAAGATAAGCATTCTCAAAATAAGTGAAGATTTGTCAGAACACACATGATACCAGCTTAAAAGCACCATTAAAGCACCAGATGCACTGCTGCCATCATGAGAAAACTAAATACCAAAATAAATGGCACAGCCCACATTCACAACTGCAAGATCTGTCCCAAACTGATCTATTTCAGCTGAGCAAAACACAGAAAGGAGTATTATACAGGCAAACAAACAGGTCTGTATTAGATGACCAGCAGCTCACTCCTCATATCAGATTTCTAACTGCAGACAAAGGTTCATGTCCCCATGTGAAAGCCAGTACTGGTCTGCGAGTCTCCCTGGCATACACCTTGGAGAAAGCGGCCCTGCCATTTATCCCCAGCAGGGTTACAGGTTACACAGCAGCAGAGCCAAAGGCTCAGCAATGCAGTGCATGTTGGTTTGACCAATGAGCTGAACTGACTGCAGATGCTGCAGCAGAACAGCCGCATCTGGATCTGGAATGACGCCGCTGAACACGCCAACTGCAAACCCCTGGCACGGAAAAGGGCTTCTGGTGCTCACCTGGAACAGTCTGCAGCTATTTGTTTCATGGAGGAGCTCTGGCAGGTATGAGCCTGTACTCCTACAGCCTCATCTCACCCATACCCTTTTGTAGTGGCAGCATCTTAGAAATCACTGGTTGCTTTTTCATCCCTTAAATTAACCATATAATTACAAAGAGACAGATGCACATCCAAAGATCCAACCAAACATACACATCCATTCTCCAATACATTAACTGGATTATTTAGAATAAAAGCATGCTCTTTGGGCTTCAAAAGTAGCAAGAAATAAAACCCACCTGCCTTCCCCCCAGTGATGGACTTGTGGTGGTTTATGAATCTACCAAACCCCACTAACTCACCTTGTTCCAAGAGACCAGGTGTATTTTGATGGATAAATTACAGAAGTTTGTAAAAGGCATTAGCACAAAGCATTTTTAGGTTTATTTAAATAAAAATTATAATTTATACAAGACTTTTTAAACAAACAAGGTTTTCTTAAAAAATGTACAGGGCAAATAATTTCATTATTTCCATTCTTCATACAGTATAAGTCTTTTGTCAAACAAAAGTTACACTGATAATGAATTATTTACAACTTCAAAATATAGACTCGAACTTCCGACATAAAAATTTTAACATCCATTCTATTTCAATGATTAGTAGAAATTAAACATCTGCCAAAATGTACAGAATTCAATAAAAACTACCAGTGGTTTTAATACAAGTGTAAGTAGCTGAAAAAAAAAGTACAACCTTTCATCTCCTCATGATTGGGTAAAATCTCTTTTTCTGCAGGAACAAGGGTAGGGTTTTCTGCTGGCATCCTGTGTGATGTTGCTACTAAATAAATAGCTTGTCTCATTCAATCTTGCCTCACAAAAGCTACAGCGCACAGAAAGGCATGATTTCATATTTCAGCTGTTTGTGACTTTTGAATTTAAGTGGTCACCCATAAAGAATTAAAGCAGTCAGTTTTCATCTCCCTTTTTTCTCCTCTTATCTTTAAAAGGGACTCAAACTAACCAATGCACTTCTAAAGAACTTAAATCCAATTAGGTGTGAATGATCCAGCAATGAACCACAGGCATCAACAGAACTGCAAATATAAACAGCAAACAGACAGTGACAAGAACACCACTTTCTGCTATTAGAAGCACTTTACATTAAGTGGTAGACCCAGCCTGTTACTGAAGTACACCAGGCTGGCTATACTGCAAAACTATGCAGGAAGATTGGAATTTGAGGTGACAGCTTCAGTGTAATTATACAAGTCAAGTAGATATTTACTCACTGCTCACTCCTGCCTGCCCTCCAAACCTGGGAGGGCTTAGCAGGAAGAAAAGCATGAGTAAACACACCAAGGTTACCTTCTAGTCTCAGAATCATGTATGCCACAGGAGCAGTTATGGAGCAGGAAGCTGGACAGCCCAGTGTAAAATGAACATTGCAAAATATGTACATTGATGTTTGTCAGCTATATTACAACTTCATTAAAAAACAAAAAATCCAGTCTGTTTTCTATAATTAGAATGAAACAACATTGCATTGCAGTTTGCACTACGTTTACTGCTTTGAGAATCGCCAACTTTTAAGTTCACACTGTTGATGTGCGGATTAATTTCAAACATCAACACATCAGATTTCATCAGAAGTTTCTAATTACTTTGCCTAGAAAAAAAAAAACATTTAAGAGCATATTGTACATGAGGCATTCCAGTCTGGGAAAATTATCATTATTTTTTTCCTCCCCCTCTGAAGCCTGGGTATGGTTAATTGTCCTGGCACCATCAGCATAGGACCTATAGCTCCTCCAGGAACCAGAATCTAGGACAACCCTATATAGTAGAGTCAACCAGTGAAGGGTGGGAGGGGGAGGAGGTAATAAGTGCAAGCCAACTGATTTCCTACTGAAACTACTGTTATGATCAGAGTGAAGGTAGAAATTACACTTGAAAAATGATACAAAAATAAGAAAAAGAGCATGCTCTCTGTAAAAAATATAGTTTTCTGTTTCTTCAAAAAAAAGGACAACCTTGAACACACCCAAGGGATTTTTTTCTTAAGACAAAATGAATGAATCTGATTAAGATTTATATAACATTAAGCGATTTTAATGCCTATTTGTTAGCCACACTTACTATTCAAGGAAGCTTCTAGAAAGGAAAGCCAAATGGTAATACACAGCAATTACAAAAATAAATTAACTGATTTTTAAAGTAGGTTTGATGAGAAAAAAAAAAATTAAGATCAGGAATTTTTACTTAAACATAAAACCTGAATGTGTAAAGTGAATAAACGATAAACTGTCAAGCTACATCCATATTATATGGTGGCAAAATGGATTCCTCACCAGCTTCAATAATATTTTGTTTTCAAGCCCTACGTTACACCATACCTAAGGAGGTGTTAGAAATGCACCCCTTTTTCAGGACATGTAAAGACGTCTTCAAGTGCTACTCTAAAAGGAGAACTCACAAATAGAAATTATGGTGGATTCTCACCCATTCTTGTCTACGCTTCCACCCAGGGCAGTTTCACCTGCCAGTGTTTCACTTTACCCAACCAAATCACAATATTCAACAATATTTATTCACATCAAGTTCATATTAAGTTCTTCATATCATACCTCTCCATGGCCAGACTGAAATAAGGTTTGTGCAGTTTGCCACCTTCACTGCTGCTGCATTTGTTACCATTTGCTGAAAGACTTTAATTAGAAACTGTGCTAAGAGTTGAACACCTTTTGGTGTTTGTCTTCCCTCTCCCTCCTTCGTTTGACCCCTTTCCCTATAAAGAAAGAAAATCCCCATTTGAAGGAAAAAAAAAAAAGGAAAGAAAGAGAGAAAAAAAATAATCCATGAAATTAAGTCCCATTTTCACGTAAGAATTTGCATCTCCATTGCTTTTCTGGGGACATTCATATAATGTCTGAAGGCATCCATACTACTCAACTCAAATGACACAGCAAAGGAGAAGACATACGGGAAGGCTTGGCATAACCCTACTGTGCTTTCGTAAAAATGCTAATAAAATTCTAAACCTCTCAGATGGGTGCTATTATATAGAGTATAAAAGCTTTCTAATATTAAAGACAAAGGTCAATGTGTGCTTTGCTGCTAGACAGGCCTGAGAGAGTTTGGAGGAGCACAGCCTTCACATTTTACCTTGCAGTTGGCTTTAATTGTTATGGAAATCTAATTCTGCAAGGGGAAAGATGGCAACATAGCAATGCCCCTAAAATTACGCTCTGAAAAGGAATTAATACTTTCAGCTGCTATATTATAGTGGGGGTTTTATCACAAGCTAACTCCAGAGAGAAGCTAAATTAAAAGTCATATCTCTTAATTATTCCCACCTCCCCCACCACAAAAAGCCTGCAAGTCTTCAATGCATTAACATACAAACACCTTGTACATACAACATGTACAACAGTTGAGCCCTTCTATGACAAGTATCTACAGAAATACAAATATATGATGCCTAACATTTTAGGAACAACATTTTGGTGCCCTCTTTTATAAAAAGTATCTGCCTGCCTTCCTTCCCCTTACTTTGGTTAACTAGGAAAGGAAGATATAGTTACAAACTTTCTCCTCCAATTCACTTTACAAGCAATTCAAACTTCTGTGTGTAGGAAAAACTGAACCTAACCAGGTAAGTAAAATATCTATGATGTGAGAATTAGCCCTAAGGGGTTATTTTAAACACAGTTACAAATACAGAAATACTAAGAAGCTAATACTTCCTTGGTGCTGCTCTCAGTTTTAGTATTTACTCAACTGAAAACTCTTGATTTGAAGAAACAGACTTCAGGCTGCTGCAGTCATCATTCTCACATCTCGGGTTAAAAATAATTAGGATAAAGGGACAAATATATCCCTAGGGATATGAGTGGAGTTAAAGGGATCAATCTGCGTCATTTTGTTATCTAGTCATTTCTCTATGCATCTTCACAGCTTTTAATGTCAGTAAATAAACATTAAAAGTGCTTAATGTGCAAGGCTAATAGTGATGATAGCACTTCCACTGTTTTGTTTCATTTTGTTTTTTTGTTCTTTTTTTTACAAAAACCTTAAAAACAAACATGAAGGCATATATAAAATACACTTGATTTATGTAACAGATAGAATATAAACGACCAGACAAGAAAAATTATTGCAAAATAGATGAGGATGTTCATTTTTTTTACTACCAAGTTGTAAAATAAGAAAGTTTCCTTTAGATCTTCTAAGATAATACTAGCTTTCGCTGCTTGATGATGCAGAGGTTATTTTCACATATTGGTTGAAAATTGTCTCAAATGCTTCATCTCTGTGTACCATGGCACCGAACACCAAAGGCTAAATGACAGAACAAAGAAAAGATTTTATCAGTCCAGAAAACAAAACCTTTCCTCTAGGTATAGGAACAGGAGATGAACTGTAGTCGAAGTACATTAATAAGGACATAAGAATCCTTTTCTCTACTAGAACCTGGGATATATGGCAGAGTTTCTAATATTTTTCATTTGTCCATTTTCTTCCTAAACCAACCATGGCATAAAATGTATCTGCACAGACTTTATGAGCAAAGGACCATGAAGTCAAACACAGCACTACAGGTACAGCCAGCTACTTACTTTTTGTGTAGACGGTGTTGATACAGCAATACCCATCCCTGATCCCGGGAGAACAGAGAGCACTTTATACTGAAAATGAAAACAAAATACATGAAGTCTACCTTATATCCTGAACAACTGCATTAGGTGCTGAGGAGGTCACACAACTCATCACTGCTATGTCCTCCCAGCCACAACCACCAGACCTCTATTAAAACCAAGAAGAGGACATACTCTGCTCTCCGACCCCAGAGTCACTGGGTACAGTGAGCACCTGCCTCTCCTCTTCCTCCTCCCATGTGCTGTGGCTGCACCCAGCCTGCCTGCCAGAACCAGTCCTGGCCCCATACCGAGCACGCCGGTACCCCTCGCACTTGGGAGCTAGCCCAGCCATGATGCCAGGCACCACTTGTCTATGGAATTAATAATTGATACTGGTGAATTGTAAGCATCATTCTTGAAGTAATGCTGGCTCATTGTTTAGTAGTTCTTTATGCCATGAAGGTGCTTTTTTCATCTGTGTGAGTTTTTTAATGAAGATGAGACAGGGATCACGCAGCCAGGCATAAAAATGTACTGTGCCTGGTTTCAGGTTGGGGGTGAGAAGGCCAGGTTGGATGGAGCCTTGAGCATCCTGGCTTAGCGGAAGGCATCCCTGCCCATGGCAGGGGGGTTGGACTAGATGATCTTTAAGGTCCCTTCAAACCCAAATAATTCTATAATTCTATGAAAATTTGGAGGTAAATTAGCAGTAGACACCAGACTGAAGTGTTTCTTTGCCCAGCACGATTTAATCTGTGGCACTCATGGCCACAGGATGTAGTAGTAGGGGTGTCTGCATTTAAGAATAGGCCAGGTTCAGAGAAGGTAACAAAAAGTGACGTTAAACACCATACAGATTGATGCACGGCACCAATAAAGCCATTGGTGACTGCAGGCTGACATAACTCAACCAGATGAAGATACTGTACTTACCCTAATTTCAACTATTCACTTCTTGCCTCTGTTAGGGCTGGGAACCCAACAGCCCAATCCAGTCTGGTTATTCTAATGTTTTAACTTTCCCCACTGACAATAAGCCCTCTTCCTTCTGAGGCACCTACTGTTAAAATGGTGCATCTACCAATATCAACACCCAAACTGAAGTTAGGATTACATAATTCCTGCTACCAATAGAACTGACATACACAGAACGGACATACACAAAACAGACATACCTTCTGAATATCTGTTATATCCGTTAGCTTTATAACTTTATTTCTCTTAGATGAGCCAGATTTGGAGCTTTCAAAGCACAAATAACTGAAGACAAGGAAAGAAAATGTTCATTTTGATACAGTATTCTAAAACAAAGCTCCAAACATCCCTGCCATCACTTCTGAAATTTGAAATATCACAGGTTAAAAGCAGCTTCAAAAAAGAGAAAGAGGCACACAGTATGCAATTCAGTCCTGGCTTCTAATTTAGAGCAAACATTTGTAAATTCTTGTACATTGTCTGAAAGTTCACAACATACGGCAGGCACACAATACAAAAAAATCTTGTATTTATATTACTGCCCTGAATGCTTAAACCTGACAAGTGTTTTAAAGACACAGAAAGTGCATATATTCTAAAGCCATAGAAATACCAAATCTCAAAAGGCTTATAAGTCTTTTACCATCCCAAAAGAAGATTAATGAAAAACACTGTGTTAAGTTTCATGTTATTGTGATGCAGATAAAAGCTCAGATTTCTAAATGCTGGAGAGTGCTCTCCATCACTAGGTGACATTGCATACAGATGAGCCTTACTTCCATTCATTACACTCCAAAGGAATTTCAGTGCAAGACCCAAAAGAGTAGTGAACTAGTTTTAAAACCAAGGATTAAATTTCTATTTGCTTTTTGCTGCACATTGTTTCAAGGAAGCTAGACACTGAATTTGCTTTAAAGACAGAAACTAAGAATATTTGCCAAATTAAGTTGATCACAACTTATTAAAGTACGCTTAGCTTTTAGGGTTCCTTTTCAGTGTGTATATACATATATATATAGTTAGCATGTTACCCACATCAAGAACTGAGCTACTAACAACTGACTATTTAGAGCTACTCTCCATTCCTATGCAACTCTTTGCAAGGCAAAATCACATTTGTTAAGCATTACAACACCCCAGATTCAGCTCTCCCTCTCCTATGGTGCTTTCTTGAGGTCATGAAACACCATGAAAAGGCACTTTTGTTTCAAAACATTGCTAAAGGATTACTTTTGGAGTTTTTTTAATGTCTGATGCATTTCCCTCCTAACAAATATGTCAAGTGCAATCACTCACTTTTCTGTGACATAAAGAACTCCATTCCTGATGTAATCTGTAGGCATTTTCCTATCTCTGTTAATCAAGCAACAGCGCCAGCCATTTTCACACACTGAAAAATTCATAACAAGAAATACTACTTTAAAAAAAAAAGACATGCATTATCCCCAACAATTTCCTTATAAACCATCAGAAGCCACTGACAATTAAACATTAGATACCTAAAACTAAAAGCATTTATAAAAGAAAAGCCTAAATAAGATGTTTTTAGACATCATAACACTGGTTTTAAAAAACCCAAACCAAAAACCACCCACACAATTATTCCCTTTGACTATGCCATTTGCATTACCACAAAAGGCACGCCAGGCTGTGCATTCTTCCACAGAACTGCAGGGAGGTGGGAATTAAAGAAATCGTCTCATTCATCCTAATCTAGAGCAAGTCTTTTTGATCAAAAGCTTATACCTGTACAGTGCACAGCAAGGGAATTCAACTTGGCTTGTTAGAAAATGCTCTACTAACGTAGCCTTCCTGTTGTGTAATACCTGCCAAAGGACGCTCATTTTCCGATAGGTTAAAAACTTCATGGAAATTCCCCCTCTTGGTTGTATGGAAACGACTCGTGTCTTCATCTTTGCTTATTCCAGTTGGGGCGCTTGAGCCCACGTAACTTCTGGAAGCTGCTGTTTGAAGCTGCAGAAAAACAAACATGATTCCAAACTTTAAACAGCAACACTTAAGCTGTGCTCTTAAAAATAACTTGGCTAACTACCCTTCCTAAAACACACAAAGCAATTGATGTTGTAATGCAATAATTTTCACTAACTATTTCAATAAATTAAACTTTGGACTATACGACTGCTATAGCACAAAACTCAAAACGTGCTATCTGAAAATAGCCTTTTAAAGTGCTGCCCTTCAATGGATGCCTTTGCAGGGGTGAAAGCACATGGTGCTAAATGTACCTACCTTAAACTACCGTTCTTCAACAGGAAAGGGTGTATCTGATTACATACAGATAGGTCACTGCATACAGATCCAACTATTATACTAGTGGGACTACTAACAGTTAATATATCAGTACTTGGTTTGTCTTCAAGAGACAGAACAAGCACAAAATATTATTGCACAAAGTAAGCTCAAAAAGAAAAAAAGAGCAAACAAAGGGAAAGACACATAAAACTGCATAAGTTCATTATAAATACAAAGGCTGAAATTGATAGGAAGTTTTCCACACTACGATCCGTACCTTTTCATGCCCTGACAGCTAGCAGGAAAAGAAACAAACAACACAAATATGACAGTGAAAAAAGAAAAAATGTGAAGTCTATTTAACAGCATAAATACACAGAATAAAACATGAACTGAGTGGCACTGCAAGATCTGGCTCACAAACCAAGAGATTACACACAGTGAATGCAATTAAAAAAAGAAGAGTTATCAGTGGTTAGAGCACACCAGTTCAATTTATTCAGGTTGTGTTAGAGCCATTGATCTTTCCTTTGCTTTGAAGTTGCACCAAACTTTTGAGAGTGTTGACATGTGAAATAAAATCAGAATGGTTGTCAGTGTTTTGGGGGGAAGGTAGCATGGAGTTCTCAAATCAAAGCACTTGAGTAAAGTCTACTTTTAAACAGAGCTCCTGAACCACTGGAGACTGCCCTAACAAACAAGCCTTGCTTCTGGAAGGACAGCAGGCAGTTTCTTTTGAGAAGTTTGCCTGCCTTTGCTTTTTCATCTTGGTAGGGCACCACATGATTCCAAAGGCTGGCTTTTGTCATTGAAGCATTAACAGCTCCATTCTTAGTCCTACCATACACATGCAGTTAAACAGCTGGCAAACTGACAACATGCAAGCTCGGGACTAAGCCCTTCTTCTGTAAAGGCCTGATGCCATTGGAGGCCAACCAGCCTCTGCTCCTTTTCTGTTTTGCACATAAGCTGGCAGCACTCCACGCTTCGCAGGACTTTGTGCTAACAAAAGAAATGCAAAGCTGAGGAAAAAAATGCTCACTGCAATTGCTGACCAGAAACCAGGCTGACAAAACAGGCACAGCAGAGGTATTTACCATCCAGTTTTTAGCGTAACCATGATACAATGATGCCTTAATGGAAAAGAACAAAGAAAGTTGACATGGAAAGCAAATAGTTGGTGATTACTGTACTATTGCTTCAGTTTCTGCCCTTCTGCAGAGCCCTTAGCAATGACTGAGCCCCTGGAACAAAGGAAAGTAATAGCTTCTTCAATAGTCTGTGTGCTAGTAATGATCAAGTACATTTTTTTAAGGCTTTCTTGGACAAGTTATTTGGCTCACTATGCATTTAACCAGGTGAAGCTCCATGGACCAAAACATAAAAAAGGTTAGGGCAAGAGGTCTAATGATTTTTGCACTGGAATGAGGTTTATTTCTGCTCTCTGCTAAACTGCTTCCTACTTACCCATTATATAAAGATTAAAAAAGGTGTTTAAACTTCAGTACCATATCCCATTCAGTGACTGAAAATGTGAGGAAGTTCTGCCCTTGCTCTAGTCCTCCCTAACACAGGCAAATGTTTCCTCCACCCTTAAAAGAAGCAGCTAATTATCCATGACCACCCAGGCCTGAGACTACCTACAGCTGATTACTAAAAGAAAAACATTGCACCTGATTTTGATAAGCCTTAAATCTAACTGGAAGTGTTCAGATTTGTAATGCTGGAAGCATCCTGACTGTCAAAAATGTCACCAACAACCTTGAGGTAGGAATACCTGGAGATATTTCTGTTTACTTGATCATCAGCTTCTGACATACAACCTTTACCCATCAGATACTGCTGTCAGTATTGTTCTCTAAGGACAGGAGGTCAGAGTCATGGTATAGGTAATGAATATTGCATTGTGTCAAGGTATACGATATCTTGTATGCTGTTTAATGACAAGAAACCAAAGCACATATACTGGCACGACATGCTTTTGGGCTCTGCCTTTTCTATGTAAAACTGAAAAATTTATTTGGTTTTTAACTTTTTGTACAAAACTCTACTTTTTATACTATGAGGCTCCCTGAAATCCCTCAAGGGATAAGACAGTTTGTCTAAAATTATTGAAACCAAGTTAATGTTTTCAAAGACATCTGGAAACAGAAAACGCAAGCAAGAGCAATATAGGCTATCGACAGCTCTGTCCAAGTGCTCATTCACCTTCCTCCTCCCTTGGAAAACAGGAGCAAAAGATTCACTTTGTGTCACAGACTGTCTTTTGTCTTGCTCTTCCACTCCCTTCTGAAATACTCTGATTATGCTGCAGCTGTTTTACCACAAACTGCTCCATCACCCCCTGAACCCCATATTTCTTCTTTTCAACAGCTTAACAACCAAGGGATCATGTGTTTATCCCTTTTGCTCCTAGTTGTGTAGCCAGACTGAATTATTGCTAAGCACTGCACATTTCAGTCAGGGAGCTTATGACAGTACTCAGATACTCCATGAATGTAATTAAATAATGTGATTACAGGCATTATGGAAATGCTAAAATGGGATTAGACCAAAGTTTTACTACAACTATTTTTATTTATAAACCAACAAACATTGACAAAATCAGGGATATGGAAAAGCATGCCTTCCTTTTCAGTTACCATGTCAGCTCCCAAAACAATTAACAAAGATGCACAAAACAACACTCAGGTTTAACCATGAGACTTGAACAAAAGAAAAATTCACTGTTGGAGTACCAACATGGCGAAAAGTCATTTACCACCACTATGCTAAAAGGTAACCTAATAGAAATAACCCTAAGACATAACGCCTAAATCTGTAAACTACTTTATTACCTCTCTTAACACTTATCCCATTAGTAAGCCACATATTATAGGTAAAAAAAAATAGATTAAAAAGGCTTGACTAACTGTTCTTCCATCTACACAAGTAGCTGGATTCCCACTGAAAAAGAATGTCTGAGAACAAAGAAGGGGAATACAGAAAGACTAAATTTTGACAGTAAAATCACACAGAATGTATGCTACAGAAATTGATATTATTATAGATGGTATTGTATTTGTGTGTTCAGCTTGATATGATTTCCAGTATACATATATTTATACATACACTTTGAGAATAGATTCCTTTCATACAAGAAATAGAATCCATGTTATAACTTTGTGGATCTTGAAAACGATAAAAAAAATAGAACTAACAGTGACTGTTGGGATTTAATTAGCCTTCCCTTTAATGTGCTCTAGTCACTGGGGAAAAGGCAAAGGGAGAAAGGAATCTGATTTTTCAGTTGTTGGGAACTGAGGGACAGAAAGACTTATTACCCTTACCCGTCTTGATACTGTAGCATTAGATCTTTCTTTGAGCTGAGGATCTGTTGGGAGACTTGTCCAGATGATATAAGGAGTATCATACTTAGCTCTTAGTCTGGGGCATCGTTTGAAGATAAAATCAATGAGGAAAAACTTGATTCCAGCATAGAGTCCTAAAAAAAAAAAAAAAAAAAAAAAAAGCCACTTCAGTACACATGTTGAAGGGGCATTAAGAACATCACTGCTTTGATCATGTTTTAACAAGTCTAACAAGTCCATGAGTGAAACAAAGTTCTGTATCTCATTCATAGTGCTAAACCATTCTCTTGACTTTAATATTTCGATTCTTCTTCTAATCCTTAGTTATTTAAGACACTTAGGTAGATTCTTATTACATGGAAGAACTTCAAAATAATTGAAACACACATTCCTTATTACCAGAAGCCCCCTAAAACCACAATGTATTTCCAAAACAGAAAACACATCAGAGCATCCATCTCTGCAGCTCCTGGCAAGAATTTAAATAGCAACAGAGGGCTCTCATGTACTATATTAAACTCTATCTTGCGGTCCTGTATAGACTCTTATCTTATTATACAAGTTATTTCCTTGCATTCTGTCAGATTAAAAAGGGCTTGAAATACTCTTTCAAAGCTTTACTGAATGCAATTCAGGTCTCCTTCTTAAGAGTCAGGGTAAAATAATACTACCTCACATATCTAATTCAATTGCCATGTCAAGCAGACCTACGTTTATGCTCAAGCTAACACAAGTTTGAAGTTCGCTGCCATGAAAAGTAACAATCATTTAATTATATCATTACTTTAAGGGAAAAAAAAATGAAAATTCTTAGTTCACAGGACATGCTTTATATCTTAGAAAACAGACACTCTCACGCTGTAGTAAAAACCCTTTTCCCAATTCCCAGTGGAGACTTTAAGTATACATAACTTCACCCTCAGTAATCTGTTCATTTTTGTCAGGGCACCATCCAAATGCTACAACTAGTCCCACCAAGTCTTTCCTTTTTTTCCCCCAACCCTGTCATCTTTGTGCCTTCTATGTGGTCCCATATATTTCACTTGCAAGGATATAGGAGTGAAAAAATCCCCAAAATATAGACCTTCCCAGAAGTCTTATAGCTGACAGACTGAAGAGCTCTGCTAACAACTCATCATGAACTTCCCCTCTTCAAGAAGCAAATGCATTATCCAGTCTTTTTCTATTATGCTATATATCCTAAGATGGTTTTCGAAATGCACATGACAAACAATGCCAAGTGCAAGGAAAATACTTTCAAACACTGCATTATTTATTAATGTAAGGGTTTCTTTCTTAAACTCTAAAATTCTCCCTCTAAAGATCATGGTAAGTTTTAACGCATTAAGTCTTGACTGTAGCAGGTCAATTATTTATTGTGTTTACCCATTGCGAGCCCAATAATCCTGTAGGGCAAAAAGCAGGATGCAATAAAAGCTGCCCATAGAGTAATGTAGAGTTTCTGTGTTATTTCTGGCTGGACCCACATGAACAAGCTGAAAACAAAAAAAGAAACACAATTTTATTACTAATGTTTCAGACATTGGTCAAGTCTTGTCGTAAGAGGAAAAAAAAGACTCATGTCAGATAACTTACTTTTTGATTTTTTCCAGTATGTCTGCCATCTTGCCAAAAAGGTTCTGCATAAGAAGCAAGAGAATTAAAACAAAGTCCTGCATTATCTTGGGTTTTTTTGGTCTACACAATAGAAACCAATAGTTATCTTACTCTGTTGGTAATAAGCAATTCCCAGAGGTGATTTTTTAACCTAATTTTTAGCCATTTATATACTTCACAATTAAGCAAATACAGAACAGGACAGCCATACACAATGACTTCAATCTCACTTAATACTTTGTTCTGTAACTCAAGATGGATTTTCGGAAGTAAAGAACCTATCTGACCCCATTTTCATGACTGCAAAGTGTTTACATCACTGCAAATATTTTATATTAAGCTGTGAGAGTTAAGAACTTTTGTCATGAGGCAACATAATAAGAAGTTTCTTTGCACACTTTGAGCACTGACATTTGAGGAAGTGGTTATTGAGTTCATCAAATGTGGGCCCGCTAGCTTCTCTAGAAACCCACTGCGATCAGGTTTTTATGATACACCCTTGGAGTTACTAGATTCCATGTAATTCCAACAACCTTTGATGCAAACTGACCCTGATGAGTATTAAGAGTGTTATTCAGACATCTTCTCTGACCAATCCTTGCTGTCAGGGCACCTGCAAATTTTATGTTCCCAATAAACTTCCAAAGATGTTTGTATAAACACATGCACCGCCACCAGCAGAAGGAAGGAGATGAGCACACACGGTTGGCAAGAGAAAGGTAAGCTACTTTCAGCAGCAGCACATTGTTAGACATGGCACAAGGCTGTAAGTTCAACTACGTGGTGGGGTCACTCAGCTGCTAGGGTAGCTCATCAAACTGACAGAAGAAAACTTCCCTTCACCCTCTCCGACAAGAAGCAGATTTCAGGGCTCAGGGGATCATGGTGGTGTTTAAAACAGGCTATTTCAGAGATGCTGTTCAAACTGCTGAATTAACACAGCTAAACAGACAACAGCCTTCAGCTAAATCTTGAAGGAAGAGGGTATCCTACACCAGCTTTGCGACTAGCAGATTTGGGACATGGATCCACACTCCAGCATACTGGTAAGATTTGCCACCTCATCTACATTACCAGAAGGTCATTTACATATATCAGGGGGAACACTGTCAGAAGAAGCTGCTTCTGTTCCCCTCCAGACCTCAACTCAGAGTTCTGACCACAGAACCTCAACCAGTTGTCTGAAGCACCGTGCCATTTTAGAAGCTCCAGGAATCTTTCTGAGGTCTCTATTGCTTGTAGTCAAGAAAAGTATTGCTTCTTTGAGTGTCTGTTTTCACATGCTGCCTAACAACATGCTTTGACCACTTGGACTATGAACGTCCTTGTTTCTAAGGAACCAGTCGGACAGCTCTGAGCGCAGCACAGTACCTGTGCCTTCTGAGCCACATCTAGAACAAGCTGAAACTTTTCAGACACGGTCAGGTCCTCTTTTGGGGGTTCCTTAGGGAAGAAAGAGACAATCCATTACTTTTAAGATCAGCTGAAACTGGTATTTTACATAACTCCTCATGAAAAGAAACCCCTCAACGTTCTTGGCAATAGTCTTCTCACTTCAGTCTCCCTTGTTTCAAATCTACTGTTAAGTCTTTCACTGCTGGTTATCTTTAGTTCTCAAAGCTCTTCCTCCATGGTACATGCAAACATATTAATATAAGGCTGTGAGACACAGTAAGTCTTTCAAGCAGCACCATTACAGTGGCATTCAGTCTATGACCACAGAATTATAGGTCCATTAGCATGACAAGAGAAGGCTATGGATCCTCTTGAGTTCCATCACACTTGAGGATAACCAGGTGATCAGGCCCAGTCAGCACAGGTTTATGAAAGGCAGGTCCTGCTTGACTAACCTCATCTTTTTCTGTGACAAGATGACCTGCTTAGTGGACGAGGAAAGGCTGTGGATGTTGTTTACCTACTTTAGTAAAGCCTTTGACACCATTTCCCACAGCATTCCCCTGGAGAAACTGGCTGCTCATAGCTTGGACAGTCACATTTTTTGCTGGTTGGATGGCCAAAGCCCAGCATGGTGGTGAATGGTAGTGGATGGTCACAAGTGGTGCTCCCCAGGGATCAGTACTGGGGTTAGTTCTGTTTAATATCCGTATCAGCGATCTGGATGAGGGGATCAAGTGCACCCTCAGTATGTTTGCAGATGACACTAAGTTGGATGGGAGTGTTGATATGCTGATGGATGGCTCTAAGGAGGGGAGTGTTGATATGCTGATGGATGGCTCTAAGGAGGGATCTGGACAAGCTGGATCAATGGGCCAAGGCCAGTTGTATGAGGTTCAACAAGGCAAAGTGCTGGGTCCTGCATTTGGGCCTCAACAATCCCATGAACCGCAACAGGCTTGGGGAAGAGTGACTGGAAAGCTGCTCAGCAAAAAGGACCTGGGGATGTTGGTCAACAGCCACACAAACATGAGCCAGCTTGTGCCCAGGTGGGCAACATGGTTTTTATCAGCAATAGTATGGCCAGCAGGACCAGGGCAGTGATCATCCCCATGTACTGGGCACTGGCGTGGCCACACCTCAAACCCTGCGTTCAGTTCTGGGCCCCTCACTACAGGCCAGAAACTGAGGTGCTGGAGCAGGTCCAGAGAAGGGCAATGAAGCTGCTGAAGGGGCTGGAGCACAAGTGTGATGAGGAAAGGCTGAGGGAACTGGGGCTGTTTAGTCTGGAGAAGGGACCCTATCCCTCTCTACAACTACCTAAAATAAGATTGCAGCAAGGTGGGGGTCAGTCTCTTCTCCAAGTAACAAGTGACAGGACAAGAGGAAATGGCCTCAAGTTGCACCAGGTGAGGTTTAGATTGAATATTAGGGAAAATTTCTTCACAGAAAGGGTTGTCAAGCATTGGAAACTGCCCAGGGAAGTGGGTGATTTGCTATCCCTGAAGGTATTTAAAAGGTGTGTAGATGTGGCACTTAGCGACATTGTTTAGTGATGGACTTGACAGTGTTAGGTTAACGGTTGGACTTGATGATCTTAAAGGTCTTTTCCAACCTAAGTGATTCTATGATTCTACGATTAAACTAGCACAAAAATATCATTATTGTTAGAAGCTCTACATCTAGAACTTAAGTTATTCACCTTTTAAGAGTAACAAAATGATCCTGGAAGCAAGGCCTAAGTCTTAGCAAAAGGTTTGAAATTTAAAGAGCTCCATCTTATGTTAACACTTAAAACCCTTCCTGCTTAAAGCAGGGTATGCAAACATTAATTTCAAAATGTTACAAAGAAAAGAGAATGCTAGGTTTCTTGAAGATCCCACAGGATCTAACTTGTCCCAGGCTGGCATATTAACATTGATTCCAGAAATGTGTTTCAAGTTTAGTGTGAAACACCCAAACCCAAGAGTACTGTTAGTTAAGATTTCTAAATTGCAAGAGAAAGAAAAAGAATATAATGTCTTTCTTTGCACCTCGCTCTTTCCTTTCACAGCTACCCACATAAACACTGAGAAAGGTCTTAAAGGTGCATCTTTTAACACAGACATATAGGACAATCTGATCAAATACCTACCATGGGTTCAGAAACTTCAGGCACAATGCTCCACTGTATTCTCCAACCCCTAGAAGTTATGGAAATAGTTAAAGAAAGCAAATACTTCTCCTCCACCTGCCAACACGGATTATTCGTAGAAGGTTAAAAAGTAGTTTTCTGCAATAAGCACTTATGACTTAAAAAAAATAAGGAAATAATCCCCAAACTAATGAAGAACCAACAACATAACCAAAGCACAAGTGGCCAACCACAGCCAGCTTTAAAGGTATACTCATTAAAGAAATGAATTAGCTAGGTAGACGCTACACAGAATCACCACTTGTGGGTATTATAACAAAAGTGAATGGTGTGCAGACAGTAATTAATTATTAAGGTTTTCTCTTTTCTTGTAAAACTACATCAACTTATTCAAGACCTATCTGCTACCAGCAATTTTCAGAGAATAGTGTGTCATAGTGTAAGTATCAATTAAGAAGTCAGCAAGTTATTCAAAACATGCACATTAAGGTCCTCTTCACCATTAAGGGGAAAAACACCATCAGGCTAAACAGCATTTTAAAAAGATCCTCTCAGTACAGAAAACATGAATTTTACAAGAAAGTCTTAATGTTTAAAAGAGACTGAATTTACAAATGGAAGATGCTTTGAATAAAGCATGCCAAGATCGACTAAAAAAAGCGAAACTGTTATTTTAGGCATAGGTGAAAATCCTCCCCATGGAAAAGCAGCAGGCTTCAATAATTTAGGTGATATTCTCCAACTACTCTGAATGCTGCAAAATGTTATTTTAGAGCTTTAGCGTGCTGAGGGATTTGTTTGAGAACATGTAGCATTATTTATGATGACCCAAGTCAGAGGATACAAAAATAATTCTTGATATAAGTCAAAAATTACAGAAATTGAGCAATGAAATTAAGGATATTAGAGTCTGAATTTTACTTTGTTAGACTTAACGCACATTAGAAAAGCTAACAGTTCACAACTCAATGGAAGAGCAATGAAACATCTTTCAAGCAAAACATTACAGACAATAATCTAGTACTTAAGTAAATACCTGGCTATGAGGTAATTTAGGGACAACCTCAAAATTGCTAAAAATAAGAACATAGGAATGGCCCAGCCATGCCATACAGCATTCATGTAAATCTGCAGATTAAGAAATAAATAAAAAAAAAAAAAAAGAACAAAGAGAAACACAGATTACAAACTGGTGCACAGTGAGTTGCATGAAAAACCATTCCCCAGTGGACTGCTGAGTTCAGAATCACGCAATTCAAATCACAAAAATTAATACATTTTAGCTACCCCATGACTGACAACAGCGCTGCATTTGTGTAAAGTCAAAACCCAAATCTCCAGAGATGACACTTAACTATTTCTCAGCTGCTTGAGAGAAGTACTGAATACTTCCAACACTACAAATGCATGAAGTGATAAGGGAAAAACAGTAAACCTTAAAGTCTGTGAGCCTGCTACGTAAGCACAACATGATCTAACCTCACCTATGGCAGCTGATGCAATGGAACAGAAGGGTAATAGCAGCTAGCCCCATACAGTGCAACAGGATAAATGCTCACTCTATTATTTCAGGTCAATTAAATCCCAAACTTTTTACCAAGCTTGGAAAGACTGCAGGAAAATAGGTTTTATTTTACCTGACAAGTACAAACACAAAGTGCCTCAAAAGGCATTGTGTTCCCTTCCTGGCTTCTGAAAATACGGAGACTACAGCCTCCCTGCTGAGACTGTTTTTACTGATAACCCCGATGTGAAGCACTGTCCTGGCTCCAACATCCCAGAACTTTCCAAACAGCAGCTAAAGTTCCTCTTTCAGGTTCTATCTGAAGAATGGGTTTGTCAGGAGAGGTGAGAAAACCCAGTAGATTAGGAGAAGGGACAGACACAGGGCACCATGAAGGGGAAATCTCCTCCTCAATATTCCTTCAGCTGTGCTGTGCAAAGTAGCATTGAATAAGGGTCTGTAACTTACACGGAGGGATCATTTAATAACAAGTTGTGTGCCATTTTCACCAGACAGGCTCATTCAGCTACAGCTACTGGTAATTCCTCTGTATCAAAATCAATACGCACCACGACCAAAATAATTTAGATTATCAATTAACAGTTAGAATAAAAACAAATTTAAACTCCACTAAATAGTTACATCACTGTGGACACAAACCTCCTTAAACTGCATGGGAATGCTTGAACTTAGCTCACAGACCTGACGTTTGCACATTAAATGATCCTCCAATAAATGGATTTTGTCTGTCATTAGTATGATCCTAATGAATGGCAAAGAGCACTGATGGAAATGACAGCTGCTTATCAAACATAGCCACTATCAGCATTTCAGCCCTAGACAGCAAGAGATTTGGCAAAGGCGGAAGTAACCATCAAATTACAGGACTGGGAGACAGGAAACAAGAAATGAGAGAACAATGCCCAGATGATTCTGAGCTATTTTAACAGTTACAAAAATATGCTACAATAAACCCCGAATCCGCAATTTAAGCGTCTTTGAAACATAACTGAAATGACAACTGCTGGCATTTTGTACATGAATGAAATTACACTACTTGATTTGCCTTTAAACTGTAGCACAACCCCTAGTCAGATGTGGCAAGTTTCAATGAATTTCAGTAAATGATACGTATAAGAATTAAGAATAATTATAATTATAAATAAAATAATTATAATTATAAGAATATTACTACTCCTGGAGGAATAGGACAACTTACAATAAAGGCAATAGCAGAAGTGTAGATAGAATACCAGTCTGATAAGGCAGAAAGATTCTTCACAAAATTAGTAACAGGTTTGGCACCTCTCTCTAAACAGAAGCAGAGAAAAAACACAACTGTTAGAATTAGCTGGCAGCGGTTAAATCGCTTGTAAATGACAAACAGACAACTTAGAAAATTAATCAGAATAGTCAATGATAACAAGGCTTACCCAAATTAAGAAAAGTGAAACCCAAGAAACCTTTGCTCTCACCATCACTGCATGAGAGAGGCATCACTCCCACATACAGATGCACACAACCAGCCAGTGACAGCAAGAGGAGCTATTCCTCAGCTCCCTGGAAACCACCTGTCCTTGTATACTCTATTCCTCTAAGCTCTTTCACAACTTAAACTGGCTAGGGGACACATGAAAACAGGAGAGGAGTGCGGCATGAAGACCTTTGCTTTCTGTGCTGGAATACACTGGTTTTGCCTTCCCTGCTGAGAAGGGTGATGACTTCTCTTGCACAGGGATCCCCAGAAGCACTCACCCTCATTTTCAGTACAGCTCACAGCTTTGAAAAGCTTTCCTCGAGACAGCCTGTGACTTGCTGTCCTAATTTGTTTGGCTTGAAATTCAGCTACCCTCAATACACTTCCTGTAGGAAGTAATTAAACAACTAGGACTACATTTCCTTGAGCATCATCAGCACAACCAAAGCAGCAGATGAAGAAAGTGGAAGGGGCACAGACTCAAGCCCTGCTTCCACCTGCTCTGCTCCACCACCCTAAACTGAATCTGCAGGGAAGGTCCCAATCAACACTTGGAAACTGCTGGTGACAACGAGGTTCTTGAGAGCTCCGGGTGGTTGTCAGGCACCCGCAGAGAACAGGGATCTAGATTTTGAAGTTCACCTAGAGGAAGTTAAGAACCACTCAAAGATAAGCTTAACAGTGCTTTTTATAAAGCTATTCTTAAGGCAATGCATGTGCACCACAGAAAACAAGTCAGACATTCTACCCCAAATGAAACTAGAAGGAATACCAGTATTAGAATAAGGAGAACAGAACTGACCTTACATGGAGATTACAGACCCTTATTTCAACTTCACCCTCCCCCCTACATTAATTTAACAATTTGTACACAAATCAGCCACATAGTTTTTTTTTGCAGGCTAGCAATTCTTTGCTGAACAGAACTTCTGGAGGGCTTAACTGCTTTGTTTAACCTGCCATCTTGCATCCTTCACTTTCCAAAGTAATTTATCAGCTATCCAAGAGACAGAAATGCAAGACACATTCATGGTATGCATCACCTAATCCCTTCATCATCTTTGAAAGCATAAGCTCATAGACTAGCAAGTGACCTAAAACCAGCTAGGGCATAAGCATATGCACACACTTATTCTTGCCACTGGAAAAATACCCCATCCTCATTCATCACATTTTAATTAACCTTATATTTTTAGTTCAGAGATACCCTATGTAATTCAAGATCAAAGGCAAGCTTCTACCACTGCTCCTCTATGTTACTTTGCACTCCAAACACTGTATCAGATTTCGGAATCATTTCTGCTCATAAACTGCAGAAGTATTTGAAAACACTGTATTTTAAAATGTAGCAATCTTCCCAATAGGGTTACTAACAACTATTTTCACTTCCAGAAAATAAAATATTGCTAAGTACTTACTCAACCTTCTCATATTTTCAGTCAACCTGAAAAAGAATAGATAAAAGCAATCTGTTAAATAGGCAAGTAGTGCACAGTTGTGTATATCTGGTATATTGAAATACTGCTCACAGTTATAAATTAGATGTTTGTGCATAAAGTTTCATTCTTGCCTGTTATGAAATGCGGTTTTAGTAACTAACACAGCCTATCTTGCACCAGACCAAAACTTGAAATGTGAAAGCTCTTCAGCCTAATTAAGGCTTTGTCCAGAGTTTGCGAGTCATGAGACAGAATCTGGTAAATAATATAACTCTTACCCTACCTCAGACAGCAAATGAACTTTAAATTTCATAGTGTGGCCAACGCATTCACAAACCTTCTGCGATGGTTCTAAACTTTCAGTTTTATTGCCATGTTCAAACCACATAAAGGGTTGTAAAACAAAAAAAAAGGAGGTAAAAAAAGCAACTTGTAAAGAGGCCAATAACTTCTCGCAATCACATTAAAGATTTACCTTCTAGCACTAAGAGGCTCTTCTGTTTCCACTGTATTCTCTTCTGGTTGAAATCTGAAGTCCTCAACATACTCGCCAAATTTGTCACAAAACCACTTCTGGAGTCTCGAACAGACCGTGTGACTACGCTTATCTGTAAGGAAGAAGCACTAAGTATCAGGATAATACTAGACAATATCTTCATCCAAAGCTTGCCCCTGTTCCCACACATCATGCTTTAGTGGGAAGCAGACTTTGTACAGCTTTCCTGTACCCCACCAACACTCTTCATGGAAACTCACTGCGCAGTTTACTTCTGCCATTGCACAGGAACACTGACTGCACAAAACTGGTAAAATAAGACTAAATGTGACTTTTGCTTTGCTCTAAGCACAGCACATGGAGGCATCACATTACCACAAGTACAGAGATTACTTAAACAACCCAACAAACGAGATTTTTTAGAAAAAACTGTAAAAACAGTTTCTGGTTAAGAGGTTGCTATAAACAAAAGACTGACATAAATGTCAGCCCTCCTACTGTGCTGAAGGGTCACCTTCAGGAAAGCAATGTAAAGCAAAACATTCCTCAGCAGAGAGCAGGGCACCCACCCTGCAGGCACATGAACTTGACAGGAAAGGGAAGTGGAAACTTAAGCAAGATTCTGTAAAAGACTTTCTTATTACCACTTTCCTACCATTTATAGGCTGCAAAGATTGTGTACGTGTGTATACACAGATATATATATCCCTCTCTAGATAATGTATATGCCACTTGCTATATATGGAATATATAGTCATGATGCTGCCTGGAAAGTCTTTTATGGCAAAGTAATGAACTGATCCACACTTTAAGTATGTTAGTTTCAGTGGAAAAATATAACATAAGTATGGATATAATATAAGGGTAAAAGCCTTAGAGGCAGCACAAATGAGCACAAAACTTTAAACTTTACCTGTAACTCAGAAAATCATTGTCTAGAGGGAACAGAGAGACTGTTCTTTGGCAATGTAAGTCAATACAGCAATGTCACGAGGAGGACACTGGTCACAACTATTCAAGGATCGAAGTTTGCACAGAACTCAGTAAGTTTAAGACACGATTAAACAGAGGCAAAAAGATTAATCAGCCAGCTATAACAGCCAAAATGAGGCTTTTATGCATGTGGGGAAAAAGAACTGGTGCTCAGAAAACAGAATCACACTATTGCACTGATATCTAGAATACCAAGGAATTTAGTGACAGTTTACAGCTGAGACAGCACTTCAATTTGAAACTAAAAACCTGCGAAGTAGCTTCCCAAATGCTAATACTTCCGAATGTACTGAGGAGGAAATTGAGTGTACAAGACAGAAAAAAATGGCAGGTTGTAGTTCACATAACAAAGTACTGATGTTATGGAAATTCAGGAGGAGCAATTCCAAATTTAATCTGCAGATTTACAAGCTCAATGAATAGGTGTGGGGAGGAAAGCTCAAGTGTACTCAAAGACTGAGACCTGTTGCCTCAGTTCTTTCACAAATCACCGTATTATTGAATTCATAATAAGCAGCAGCTTAAGAAATGGAGATGACAGCGTAGGTGTCCAAAAAAATAGTAACTCCTATTCCTTTTCCAGAATGTCTTGTCTTTTAGAAATAGGAAGGGGTAATACAGTTAATAGCATAAAAGAGCTTTTGCAGTTGAGACCAAAATAGAACATTTTTTGTATGTATTACACCTGTTTTCCAGTACCTGAAGGATCAGCAAGGCACGCAAGTGTGATGAAACCAGGCAACAGGTTTCATTAGATTACTAAAGGCTTTACAATACTGAATAAAGTCCTTGCCCAGGTGTGCAAAGTCAAATACAAAAAGTAAATGCACAATCACGTACAGTGAGATAAGAAGCTACTAAAATGGTCTTTCACATCTGGCTTCTTCAGAAGCCTGCTTAAGGACCCAGCACATTTTTCAGCAAGGCTTGATCTTCTAAGGATCAAAAGAAAGGGGCAAAAAACCCCAACTGAATCAAACTGCTAGCAGAGATCTGAAGAAGATTACCTGTTCCATTGGCTTGCGTCTGAGGCTTTGCAGGTTGCTGAGCTGCTGGCACCTCTTCCGTCCTGAAGTAAAAACAGAAACGATGTGAAGTGCTACAGATGAAAATGATTTTGGTTTACCTTTTAGGTAAAGGGAGCACTGGAACCTCCAGGGTATCCATAGCTGAGATAATACAACCATGACAAGATAAATCCAAGATTCAAAATATCCATGGCACATTGCACTTAAGATCCATGGCAATACCATCCACTGGAAGGAGAGGTGTGGTTTAGCCATTTCCTGTCACTGACAGCTCAATTTCATCTTACAACTTCTAAATAATTCATTATCCATTTTGTTGCATTACCCATGCCTCTGTGTTGTATTGTGTATATTGCAGTGCCTGCCAGAAAAACTCTTCAGAGCCCAGACTTTTCCCACAGTAATAAAGGAAAAGAGATTCTGTATCACAAGCTGATAATCACAGTACTAGAACAAAACCATTTAAAACCTTTCACAATGAGTCAAGAAAAATATTCTTATCCATTAGAAGTAAACCAAATTTTTTGGAAACCAAAATGCTTTTGACATTCTGCACATGTGCACAGCTTCAAATGACATTTGCACTATCCACAGCCTACAACTGCCGACCTGTCTTGAGAATACTTCAGGCTTCAGTCCAAAAGTCTTCAGCCATCCACAGAGATATCCTACAGACAGATTTTTCTAACGAAGCAGCAGCTTTGACAACGTAACACCAGCTGCAGCAGGCTCTACTTGACAGGGAGTTGTATGATTGAAAAGATTACTGCTTGAAATAGTGAATTACCATACAAATTCATTATCACTCATTTATCAGGCTATACAGATGCTTTTAAATGTTCCCTTCATCTTTTGCCCCTCAGGAAGGGAACCAAGTGGGATGCTGGACAGCAAATAGTGAGAAGAGGGATCCCACTGTATTGGGCAGACTGCATCAATACCCATCAATGTCCAGCTGGGGACCAGTAACGAGTGGTGTCCCTCAGGGATCGGTGTTGGGATCGGTCTTGTTCAACATCTTTGTCACTGACATGGACAGTGGGATTGAGTGCGCCCTCAGCAAGTTTGCAGATGACACCAAGCTGTGTGGGTCGGTTGATACGCTGGAGGGAAGGAATGCCATCCAGAGGGACCTTGACACGCTTGTGAGGTGGGCTGATGCCAACCTCATGAGGTTTAACCATGCCAAGTGCAAGGTCCTACAGCTGGGTCAGAGCAATCCCAGGCACAGCTACAGGTTGGGCAGAGAAGAGATTCAGAGCAGCCCTGCGGAGAAGGACTTGGGGGTGTTGGTCGATGAGAAAATGAACATGAGCCAGCTTCAGTGTGCGCTCACAGCCCAGAAAGCCAACCATATCCTAGGCTGCATCAAAAGGAGTGTGACCAGCAGCTCAAAAAGGTGATCCTGCCCCTCTATTCTGCTCTTGTGAGACCTCACTTGGAGTGTTGTGTCCAATTCTGGTGTCCTCAACATAAAAAGGACATGGAACTGTTGGAACAAGTCCAGAGGAGGGCCACAAGGACGATCAGGGGACTGGAGCACCTCCCGTATGAAGACAGGCTGAGGAAGTTGGGGCTGTTGAGCCTGTATCTGAAGGGGGCCTATAGGGATGCTGGGGATGGACTCTTTGCTAGGGACTGTAGTGACAGGACAAGGGGTAACGGGTTCAAACTTAAACAGAGGAAGTTTAGATTGGATATAAGGAGGAAATTCTTTCCTGTTAGGGTAGTGAGGCATTGGAATGGGTTGCCCAGGGAGGTTGTGAATGCTCCATCCCTGGCAGTGTTCAAGACCAGGTTGGACGAAGCCTTGGGTGATATGGTTTAGTGTGAGGTGTCCCTGCCCATGGCAGGGAGGTTGGAACTTGATGATCTTAAGGTCCTTTCCAACCCTAACTATTCTATGATTCCATGAATATAGACATATATAGTTCTCTGTCCTGCTGCTCCTCTAGAAAGTACATTAGGGAAAGATCTTGCTATACTGTCTGCATACAGAAAAGACCATTGCTAATGTGTGCCATCTCAACACCGACATACATCAATAAGTATGAGGGAGAAACTACAGAACTAATTACCTCCCTTCCTAAGCACTCCCCATATTTAATGAGCTTTCCACATCTTCGCTCATTTCTAAAAGAAACAGTTAGAAATAATTTACTAATCCATAAATTATAACTGGACATCTATCAGTGTGGAGAAGCTGAATTCAATAGCTCCTGCTTTCAAAGCCATTTGTTTTCATGCCTCTTTGGAACTTTTTCACAGAGCTTCTGTATTTGCAGCAATTCTTCTTTCCAAAAGCCATCTTAAATTCCACCAGTTTATGCTTTCTAGCTAAATATTAACTTCTGTTTCTGTGACATTTTTCCCCAGTTTCTAGGTAAACCATGGATTCCTCACCTAAAACCTCCTCCTCTCCTTGCTCTTTCATCCATACTTTTGCATCTCCTCCATTTCCAGCTCTGTCTCTCACAAGACAGACAGCGATCAATGTCATCAAGTTTGCACAAACTATTACATAGCAGTGCTTTGTTTTCCTCTACCAGCACATCAGGTGGTTACACCACACAGGTGGGCATTATCATCTGCAATCTGTTGCTGTGTTTCATTGAGGCTGAAGACACACATAGGCAGAGAGGAGGTAGTTATTCACAAGCAGGGTCACATACGCAGGAGCCAGTGACTCAATCCACTCCAGCCATGCAAAGGCACTGGGGCGATCTCACACCTGAATTGTTCCAGTGATGGAGCCAAGATGGGATACCACCACCACCAGTCATCACAGCCTGCAGGCTGGATCTTCCTTTGACATGCTGGGGTATATTTTCAGAAGCAGCACAGCATCATTACTCCCCACGTTTCTCATCAATAAAGAGGTGTGGATAGCAGCCTCACTGGGCTCCATCAGGAGCACATGATAGTTTGGCTTTGGCCCTTCTTGGTGCTTTTTTGTTTCATTTTTTTGGCAATGTCTTACTTGCCATCTGCCTGTTACTCCTTCCCCATGAAGAATCTGACCTTTACGAATCATCAGGTTAATGACAGCTTATTACTGCACCTGTGACCCAGGTTGTAATTAGCCACTTCAGACAAATTTGGGCCAGGAAGCTCAGAACTCATAGTCTAGGCTTGAGCACCCACTGGGAAGCTCTGTCCCAAAACCAGGTCATGTTGAGCCAGCCAGTACATCAAGACCACTGACAGAGAGGAGGAAATATCTTTCCTACAGTTTACAAACCACTTTTGATGCCAGTTAAAGGGCTGGAAAACACAGATGGTCCCCAAAACAACAGAAAAAGCTGTGCTCCTATGCAGGCTTCCTAATCGCAGCCTGCATCAAAAAAAAACAAGCTGCATTAATTCCTCTGGGACCACGCTTTCCACCCAGAGAAAGGGTGTGATTGGTAATGCCAAGAGATCCCCAACCTGTGGCTAGGTTGTGTTTATGCAACTAGAGATTGAGCCTGTTTAAAAGAACAGGCTGATTAAAACAGATAAGAGCAACCTCAGCCAGTGGAGAAGACAAACACTTTCCTGAATCTAGGATGCTTTTGGTCCCCTTAAAAACAGTTCACAAAGTCACTTAAGAACAAGGTTTGCGTAAGTCACAGCTAGCTGTGGGTGTTGTTGCAAAACTTTATTGTTGAGGTTTTTTTCTTCCCTGTTCATAATTTGTAAAATAAGGCAGCAACAGCCCACGATCCACATAAACAAGCATTGCTCACACAGGCTATTCCAAATTATTTATGTGTTGTTCCACTGGCAAAATGTCATATGCTCCAGCTGTCCTAACAAATGCTGGGATGTCCTGAAGTGTGTCTATGGAAAACTCCAACTGAAGCCATCGCGTTTCTGAATACTCTGACATACAGACAGTAAACACCATGACAAACAAAAACACTAAAAATCCTCTTCTTCCTCTCCTCCCTGTGCACAATTCTATGAAAGAAGCCTATGTACTTCCCTAAAAAAATAATTATCGACAATTATTAACAATTCCAGATTATTAGCTCATTGTTTTCTCCTTGCTGAACACTTTGCAGCCTGTATTTATACAGCTACATACACTGATAAACTTTACAAATACTTCTGAACACCGCAACTATTAAAATAATTCTTCCTTCTTACACCACAGCATGGTTTGGTTTTCCCCAATTCGCTTCTGTAAGCGGAAGAGTACATGCAAACATATTATATGCATATCTATTTAAAGATTATATGAAAACTCACCTAATTGAAAAGCAGGGTGAATTTGGTTTTGTTGACATAAGCAGAGACTATTTTCTGTTGTTACTTTGCTTAATAAAATTAAGTTTCCATCAGGTGTAAATCTGGCCAATTATGTATGTGAACGTGTGAGCAAATACTTTGTCTGTATGTCCTAACAGAAGCATTTTTGAATGCCTACAGTGAAGTGCAAAAAGATATAAAGCAGGGAAGAAGAATTTCACACAATGGAGCATAAGTTAAGGGAAAACCACAGACAACCTGTTTTTTCTTCTGGGTAGAAACTGGAAATTTTCAAAGTCTTATTTCTGTTGTCATCTTACATATACTTGCCTGTCCCCAGAAGGCTGGAATATTAGTAAGACTACTTAGAAAAAGACTTGGGAAAGGGGATAATTGGCTGTAATCCCCAAGTGCAATACCCAAGCTAACAGGGCTAGAGTAACCCTTAGGATATCTAAATGGGAACACAGCACTGATGTGGACAAGTCACCCCACCTTAATTTAGCAGTAGCATGCCTGCTAGAGATTTGCTGTTGTCCACAGTCCAACAAGGCACAGATATTGACACCAACATTGATAAACTAAGACCTTCAAACTCTTTTCTCTGTAAAATACATATAACTCACAAGCTGCAGTGAGCCATATCAGACCCTGGGCCATCCTCATTACTCTGACACAGGGCAGAATGAGGGGTACCTCCCTGCAGAGGAAGTTGGCTCCTCATCCTTCTCCAGGATGCCAGAAATGATGGGATCATTCTCACCCTTCTCTGTAGGTGACCTACAGCCCAAGCATACCTGTTCCTGGGAGAAAGCCATTAGCTCTATGCCAGTGCTAAAGCATGCGGAATTTGCATCTCAAGCAAATTCTTCAAGGCAGCAAGTCACAGACAAAAAGCAATTGTGAAACATCAGTTTTATCTACCAACAGCAGAAAACAATACTCATTGGTCTGTACTGCTGACATCAAGCTAACTGATACTCTCAGCTCGGGGATGGGTCCAAGTTTGTCCTCTTCCACTGTCTCCAGCAGCCCACTCAACTAGGCAACACTAGTTTAGACACAAAATGGAAGTTATATGTGCATACAGCCAAGTCAACCAGCACAGGCAGTAAAGATGCACTCCCACGTCTCAGCTGTAAGAGTAACTGTAAAATGTCAAATGCCAAAAATGCCAAAAAAAACCCCAAACTCCAGATGAGAGCAGTCCAGATCACCTTCCCAGTGCATGGTCATGGGGCTGGCTTGGGAACAAGAGGACATTGCAGAGACCCTTCTAAGCATGCAACTTGGCAGCTCAGGTGAAGCCTGCACACAGACTGACCTTGCAGGAAACCACCGACTTTGGAAAAACATCAGTGTGAAACGTTAGCTAAAAAAATCCCACTGTACTAGTACTGAGGGTAAGAAGGAAGACCTGCTTTATCTCCTGTCTAAAGCCTTGTAAACCCACAATGAATACTGAACAAACTCAGCCTCTTCATCTTAAGACAAAACAAAGAATGGCAACTTAACTGATGAAAGGGATGGCATACTCTATCAGGAAACACTGGAAAAGCTGAAACTTCAGTCTGAAGAGAATTGTTAAAAACTGACTAAGGGTGGTAAACAAGCTGAATGCTGAACCAAATCTCATAATTCTGTAACTGTGAGGTACTTCTTGAAACCACTGAGAAATCTGTTAGAAAGAAAGAAAATAAATTGCTGCACCAGAGTGACGAGTGGGCTTCTGAAACATTGCCTCCATAGCTACCAGATAGCTCCAGCACCTTCAAGAGGAGGTTAAGTAAATTCACAGATAGGAGGTGTGCAAACAGATATTGAAGTGTAAAGGCAGAAATGTATTTCTGATACCTCTAAATACAGTGCTTGTGGATGCTTATAAGTAGCGGCTGGGGGAACTGGGGCTTTTTGGCCTAAAGAAAAGGAAGCTTGAGGGAGACCTTATGGCTCCTATAGGAGCCTAGCTGGATGTTGGTCTCTTCCCCCAAGTAACAAGCAATAGGACAAGAGAAAATGGCTTCAAGTTGCACCAAAGGAGGCTTAGATTAAATATTATGGGAAATTTCTTCACAGAAAGGGGTGTCAAGCACTGCAACAGGCTGCCCAGGGCACTGGTTGAGTTGCCATCCCTGAAGGTGTTTAAAAGACGTGTAGTGCTGCACTTAGAGACATGGTTTAGTGATGGACTTGGCAGTTCTGGTTAACGGTTGGACTCAATGTTTATAAAGGTCTTTTCCAACCTAAACAATTCTACAATTCTATAGCAGTAGGAGGTAAACAGAACACAGAAAGCAACTAGGCTCACATTTCCTATAACTAGTTCCTATTTCAATTGCTACAGAATACCAGTGAACACAGACTGCTGGTCTGACCAGAAAGGCATTTTTAACTGAGGATGAGTACAGAAGGAAGCAGCAGGCTGGGAAGAGTTTGTATGGCACTGGGATACCTCATATCCAAGCAGGAAGTTTTGCCTGTTTGTTCTTGCTTGTCACGTCTAAGTAACTGGCAGTGCTTATCACACGTGATTACCAACTCAGCCTGCACTATCTCCTGATGACAGCAGTTGATGGTGAACCACAGATCTTACTGCTCAGCCAGCTAATCTCAGCTACTGCTGAGGAAGATAACACAGGCAGCTCTGTATGCAAGTGGTGTAAGACCAAAAAGGCTGTCAAGCAGCTCCTATGGTCTTAAGATCTAAAGCCCATAAAGCTAGGCAAATTAAGGAGAGACAACTTCAAATGTTATGCTCTGCATCATCAAGTTGGGTGTCCTCAAGGCTGAAAGGCCTTTGGGTTTGGGGAGGCATGTTTCCATTTGTCATTGCACTGGCAAGGAAGGCTCAAACTCAGTCACTCCCACACTTCTAGGGTTGGGCTGTGGTACTGGGATGTCCTTGCTGCTGCTAGAACAGGACTAACAGGGTCTGGGTAGTCTGGAGATGACACAGGTTTGAAAAGAAAAAGCATAAGCAATGGCATTCAGTAGCACGCAGGGCATGCTGATAGCTCCAGGTAGGTGAGATCCCAAACAGAACACATTAGAAAAGGTGAAATGAAGAATATCCCCACTACAAGAGTGACAACACTTCTGTATTTATGGCAGTATGCATGGTGAAGTAACTCAGGTACATGGATGTGCAAGATGTACTTCTACAGAAAAACATGGGCAGATTCTCTGTGTGAGCTACTCATTTATTTTTAAGAGAGCCTAGACTGGAAACAGATGCTTTCATCAGAAACCCTCAGAAACAGTCAGATATCTCAAGTGTCTTTCAGCTGTATAGTGAAGACATTTCTCTTACCTTGCTTCATACATTTCTCTTACCTTGCTTTAAGTACTTCATTGACTTTTTGTTCTAGTTCTAATCTCCTTTGCCGTTCCTTTTCTAGCTCCTGCCTTAACATTTCAGCGTTTGTTTCTTCTCTCAGCTTCCTGAGTTCCTCCTCTGTTAATTAAAGGGGAAGAAAAATATTTAGTTACCCTGAAGTATTTCTGTAAGAAAATTAAAATCTAATTGTGACAGCTTAGGTGGGGTTTTTTATCTGTGCTATACCAAATATGTTCACCAGAAAAGAAGTAAGTATTCCAGGACTAAAAAGGACTTCATAAAACCCACAGCTGTATCATGTATAAAATGTTTAGTTACAACTGCTCAGCAAAGAGTAAAATAACTTTGAAGTTTGCCTTTAAAAACGCAATGTATCAAAAATAAGCCCTTGAGTAAAATCTACCTTTTATCTAAACACAGGGTGACATACCCTTCACTCCCCAAAGAAACAACTGGCAGGAACACTGTCTACTGCTAAATCCCGTGGTCACAACAAGGAAAAAAGAGTATCTGTTTTCTTTCCAGTGTCTATGGGTAGGAAAAAAACAAACCATATATTCACATAGATATAAGATGCCATATAACCCTCTACCCATCAATTTCTGGCACCCCTGTATTTTTATGTAAGTATGCAATATACATACATACACACATACATGCTCTCACAATTTTTTTTCGTAAGAAGTTAGTCTTAACTATGTAAAAAGCTTTTTGTGGCTAATTAGCCTTGCTTTTTTGTCACGGTATCCTTGCTCATTTTATTTTATTCTAGAGCTACAACGGGGTCACCACCACTGGTTACTTTTCCCAGATAGGCATACAAGAGACAAGACAAAAAGACTGTGACTCTCTTTTTTCTTTAAACAAAAACATTGCTCTACATTTTGGTCTCTGGGCTGGTTTTTAAGCTCAATCTCAACACTAAATACTAGAACAGCAAATGTATTTAAAGCTTACAGCAAACCAGAACAGAAAATACTCGCTAATTCCAGTATCACCACAGACACAGGGGTTTAGGCTTTACACTGTTTTACAACGTTTGCATATTATGTTATACCCTCCAGCAACCTCTTCTGTTTCTTTTCACATTTTGCCTTGTAAATCTTTGATAATCAGTTGATTTTGATATCTGAGCCTCTCTGGCTCCAATCATATGCATTGCGAGAAGGTCTGAAGCCCTAGAGGAGCTGATAAACTCTCCCTGCTCTTCAGGAGGCCCTTGTGCAGTATTTCTGATCATTTTATCCACTGTGTGAGTTAGGAGTCGTAGATCGTCTGTACTCCTGCAGCACTAAGAGGGTTAAAGTACAGAATTAGGAGAGATGGGAAAAAGATACATAAAGTGATAGGACAACATCACAGTTTCCACCATGAGGGTACAGGCTGAACTCCACCAGACAGAAAGTAGCGTGGTCATCTCCCCACTGCTTTGTTAGTAACCCCAGAAAGAAGAGTTGGAGCTCAGAAACCCAAGTTAACCTCCCGCAACTGAACCTAAAATTTATTCCCAAAGGCAGGGTAAGGAACTTTCACTGTTGCAGCAGACTGGTCTCTCCTGTAAATAAATGGAAAGATATGAACATAAGGGCATACCTATACATGGAGCTGTTCCTAATTATGTGTCCACAAGGAATTTTTAATCCAACAAGAAAACTACTTTTATAAGTAGCTTACCCTACTTTCAAGGGCTCGCCTTGTTCCAGAACAAGAGCATGCACACAGCTGAGGGGAAACATCTGTTACACTTCAAATGCACTGGTGATTGTGCAATATGAAGCTACCACAGAAAGTTCCAAAGCTTTAAGAGATGTTATCTTCTCAAGACCATTAAAGGAAAAAATTCTCCATAAAGCACTCTTTTTACTTTTATGAGGAAGTGACTATGCATTGTGTGTACATAAGAAAACCACAAGTAGTATAAATTAACCTCAATGCCCCTGAAAGTTTACTCAGATCTTCCAGCTTCCTTAATTCCAGTTGCTCTGATTGTACTACATCTTGTTCTACTAAAACTAAAATAAAACCCCCAGAAACTTGTCCACTAGGACAAGCAGTCCAGAGATTCTTTATGGAAAGAGGCAGAGCTAAAAGGTACACAATGAATGAGGCGGAATTCCTATAAAACAAAACAAAAACCACGGCACCCCATCATTAAGGATTGTTACAGCTTCACATTTCATAGCATTTCCTGGCTCTCACAGACATGACAGCATTCAAATCCACCCCACTACAACTGCTCTGGCCCCTCCAACTCTTTAAGGCAGTATTTGTTGCCACTCTGGCAGTAGTGTGGTCGGGCACAGTAAAACCTCAGGGTTTGTTTAAATACTCTGAAGACTGCCAAGCAACTGAAACCATGGAGGGGTGGGAGTTCTTCCCTGCTTCCTTGCTCTCTCCCTCGAAATAATCTACAATTTCACCAAGCTGAACTGAACTTCCAGAGGATATTTCTCCAGCCCTGAGGGGTCCTTCTGCAGAACAAGTGAGAGCAGAGGTCATGAACCCCTGAGAAGAACCCATAAGAACATTTCACCATGGTATCTATCTACTGAGCTTTACAGATGAGTATCTTTCTTGACGATGAGAACAGAGCACTCTTGGATTTCATCTTAAAACAGTCTAAATTCAAACATCCTCCCCTTCCACACACACACAAAAGGGTAAAACATAAAAGTTAAGCTTCAGCTCCAAGATTTCCATAATTTCCCTCCCAGGCATATCAATCACAGCTCCCTATCTCCTGCTGGGCAAGAAACAGTAAAATATTGTGAGGCTCGGTACATGTCTTAACTGGACATGAGCTGGTGTGAGCAGACATAAAGGGGACCTGGTTAGAAGGGGAAAACTACTAACAGAAGAAAATGTCTGCTGAAATACTGACAGAGAAAATCCCTGCCAGCCTGGCAATTAGGTCTGGGAACCAGAAGCATCCTTGAGATGTGCAGCACACAGCTGGATACCTAGAAACTGAAGACATGCTGAGATACCACTGATAAGCAGAAACCCAAGGAACTGTAACAGCAATTTATCAACTGAAAAGGTGAAAAATAGTCTGGAAAAAAGGAGAAAACATACTCAGAAAGTAAGAACTGGTGACTGCCACTGGCTATTCTATCTGCAACGACAGGAAAACAGACTGGAAAAATGAAAATTGGCCTGAAAGAACAGAAAACAATTAACAGCATCTACTGGCTGCTCAAGTGGTGATGTCCTACAGGTCCTTAATCCTCGATGATATAAAAATTACTTCATTTTTGTCCAAAATGAAGCTTCTTTCTCAAGAGAATTTCCTGTGATGCACGTCCTTCTCCTTTCCTAAGCAGGCTGAACTCTCCACACAAACTTCCTAAGAGATTTTGGATTCTCACTGGGGAAGGTGTGGTTTGTCCTCCCATTTTTGGGACGGTTTGTCCCATTCTGAGATATGTTCAGTAAGCTTGATACTGATATTATTGTAAACATATGCATACGTGCATGTAAGTAATTTATCACAGTTACATCTGCTGCTACGTTATTGTTAAGTTTACTTCACTAAAGATAAGCTTGTAGCAACCTGTAATACTATACCTACTTGGCTGCTGACATACTATTGATAGCTGCCAATAATTTCTACCAGCTTTATGCACAGACATATATTTTTATTTTCCACTCATCTATATTCACTTTATCCATCACAGATATAATTGTTAGTGGTGATTTCTGTGGCATTTGCAGCAATCTGTAATAAAGCGGAAAAATCTAGAGTTAAAAATCCTCTGTGTCCTTGTGTATTACAGAATCCTATTAACCCTGAGTCACAATTTCTACGTACCTGCAGGCTGGTAACATTTTAGGTCATGACAGCAGTTGTGACCCTGCAAAAAATGCTCTAAAATCTCTCTAGTAAAGCCAACTTGTGTAAAGAAGCAGGAAAATACCTGGATGCTGTTGCACTTCTTAACACGAACTTTAGAAGTCAGTGACACAAAGTAACAAGAGTGTTTCAACTACATTAATCTGCCTATTATTGATTGCACTGTAAACCCTAGGAGAATTGACCTCATAGGTAACACCATCATCAGCAATGCGTCCCACAGCTTACCAAAAACCTGTATTCATTTCAGTTTTTCTACAGCAATTTCTCCTCTATTAGCTGTAACATAACTGTCACACCTGAACTAAGGATTTAAAGTTTTAACATTTCAAGAAGTTTAGCTGCTACCATGTACTTGCTAAAAGACAAGCTACCAAGCATTCCTTTGCACAATGATATGGCATCAGTCGCTAGAGCAACTGAAACATTTCAGTTTGCTTCTTAGAACACACAAGCTTGTAAGAAATGTTTTGATAAAAAGCTTTTAAATACCAAAGTATTTAGTTCAGGTGAGACAGAACAGAACCTGAGTAGTATTTAGAAAAGAAAGACAATACATGAGGTTGGGAAGATATAACAGCAGGTTGGATTTCTAATTCAATACTCAGTAAAAATACTCAATACTCAGTGCAGTAAAGCGGATGTTTCCCTTAATGCAGGGATTGGAGGTGGATTAGGGAGCCTCCTAGTAGCTGTTTTACATAATAGCATTCCTTTGTAGGCCTACAGGTATGCTGCAAGATCCCCTCTCTGTGACAAAGTGACAAAAATTTCCTTCAGAGCATAGCTAGAGACTGCAAAGCACTGTTTCTAGACACTAAACCACTTCAGTGCTAAACCTAAGGAGACCACGTTAAAAACTAGAAATGCCAAAAAGCATACATGCATGCTGTCATGTCTACATGGGGAAACACCAGTACTTAACGACAGAAATAACTCTTCCGCGTCTATGTTAATTATGGCAAATCTCCTTACAACCCATTGAACATTACCAGAGTTCAAGTATGCTGTTTAATTGGTACTAAACACACTAAATCCCAGCCACACACCATCAAACTGGATCTCACCCACCATGCTGACAGAGCCGACGCTGGGAGTTTTCTCTGCCAGGCAGACAACTCCTATCCTTGCCAGACTCCCAACTCCTGCAGAAAGCTAGTATTTTAACTTTGTCCCATATAAACCAACGTTGACATTAAGAATAAGACACTGGGAATCCGAAAACGTCTATTTTCATCATTGAAGACACTGGAGAGCTTTAATC